GTGTGTGTGTGTGTGTGTGTGTGTGTGTGTGTGTGTGTGTTCGTTCAGCGGAGATAACACTAGTGATCTGTGACAAAGAGGAGAGGGCAGCGTCTTTGCTCGAGTGCAAGGAGAACGGCACAGCCCCGGAGATCTCCTGCCTGGTTCTCTTCACCGACTTCAGCCAAAAGTTCGCGGAGCGGGCGAAGAAGTGCCAGGTGGAGGTTTTGAGACGGGACCAGCTCATGGTGAGTGGGACGAAGCGCTGCAGTCAATCACAATCCTCTCAATTCGCCTGCCTTTTAATCGAACAAGCTGTGATGAGGTATGGACTGATATATTTTTTGGTGCACGTTTCCAGGAGCTGGGGAAGCAGAACCTCAAAGATCCTGTGGTGAGTTTATCTTCTCTGGTATCTCCGCTGCAGCGTCACCGCATCAAACCCCAGTCATGTAAACAGCTGATCTCCCTCTAAGTGCTCTCCTGTCTCATAAGATGTCATTAACACTCACTTGTAAACAGGACCTGGACACAGTGGAGGAAGCTGTAAGTCATTTTTATTCTTTTATTTTGCTGTCTCGTAGCCACCCCAGCCTGAGGATCTGGCAGTAGTTTGCTTCACCAGTGGAACCACAGGTACGTCTGATCTCAGAAGCCCCCCCTCTCACCATAATTATACCTTTCTCACATCATTAGAGAAACGTCCTTCAGTGCCCACTAACAACCTGTCTTTATGGTGCCACTGGAGGTTCGTTTTGCTGTGCAGGCCACGGCAATAATCTCTTGTTTATTTATCCAGGGAAGCCCAAGGGAGCCATGATCACCCACGGCAACATCGCCTCCAATACTTCCTCTGTCATTAAGATCCTGGAGGTCTGTCTAAACTTCCACCTCCTTGTCTAATTGAGAACAGCCTCGCAGCTAGCATCACTTCCTGTCCGCTTGTTTGTCAAACCTGCTCCCCTTCCCCCCACTGTGTTTAATGGTATGATTAATTGGATGTTTGATCGCCCCTGTCGCTGCGAGGTACTTTAACTAATTGGCCCTGTCTAAAGATTGTGCCGTCTAACCGCCGCTGGAGAAGCCATACAGCATGTTTGATCACCCGTGAGGCTTCGCTCGGCGCCGCTGCCTGAGTGTGATCGCTCACTTCACGTCTTGTTTCCTCCTCAGGGTTCGTTTGTGATCACGACAGAGGACGTGTCAATCTCGTACCTGCCGCTTGCCCACATGTTCGAGAGGATGATTCAGGTCGGAGCTCTTCTTCACGTCTTTGTTTATTTTCTTTTATCCCGAGTCGGCTTTTTTGCCCACAAACCCCTTTTAAAATTGAACATGTTTCTATCACAGCTCACTATGTACTACTTTGGAGCCCGAGTAGGATTCTTCCAGGGAGACATTTCTCTTCTTATGGACGACATTAAAACCCTCAAACCCACCCTGTTTCCTGTTGTGCCTCGTATACTCAATCGTATCTACGATAAGGTCAGTGAAGCTTTTAGATACTTTGATTTGCCAGCCCTGAGAAGGATGCTTGTCTTTTAAAAAAAATGTTTATATTTTTCATGAATTTCTTTAAAGATCCAGGGTTCGGTGACCTCTCCGTTTCAGCGGGCTCTGTTTAACTACGCTGTGAGGCGAAAACAGGCCGAGCTCCGCAGTGGAATCGTACGAAACAATAGTCTGTGGGACAAACTGGTGTTCAGGAAAATACAGGTCAGTTACTAAAAGGCTGTGCTATTATCACCTCCCGATGCAAGATATTTGGATGTCTGTTACCACAATAACTTAGGAACCACTGGATGAGTTTATTTTTTCCACTTGTAAAATGATCCACTTCTACAACCAATAAACTTTTAGTCAGCCCACTTCAATATGGCTGCCACAGGTAATCGACTTAAGCCCACAAAAAAATATCTATAACTTAGACACTGACCTAAAATTTGATGCTGTAGTAACACATTTCTGAACCGAACCACATGTACAAGCTTTGATCAAGCTGTCTCTAATGTCACTCATTGATTTCTCATCATGGAAGGCAGTGGCATTCCTTCAAGGAATTCTAGACCATTAGTCACCCAGAAGCTGAAATAATCCAGCAGGTGCAAAGATGTGACTCAGAATACGTCAGCACTCTGATCCAGACTCACTGTTTTCATTGTGGGATTCAATTAAAGGGGAGGATTGTGCAAAATCAACTTTATTTTTAGTTTTATATCATGTTATGTCATTTCCTCATCAAAAACATACCCAGAGTGTTGCTTTAACTCATCCCTGCATGTCTGAGAAATCCCTGCATGTCCATGTGGAGCTGCCTAAACGCTTGCTGGTACAAAGCCCCGCCTTTTTGTACATAGCTCCTCCCTGGAGCTCAGTCTGCAGCCGAGCTCCCGCCATACAGAGCACCCCTTCCCTGAAGCATAGTTGTGAAGATGTGCTGAAGTGGGAATGTCAGAAACGGTAGGAGATTCTTAGAGAGAGAGAGAGGCCACTTTCAAGGTGTTTAGATTGGCTATAATGATACAAAGTTAAATTTACAGCATTTTCATAACAACTGAAGGTAACATAGTTACTGGATATGTGCCTGGAAAATACATAATACCCCCGATTTAAAATAACACGTTTTATTTATCGTCTTGCTGGCAAACCTCTTTAAAATCCTCACTTTTTTTCCTTTTAAAAAGGTATTACATCGCTGTCCTAAATGACTCCTAACACAAGTCAAAACACAGGTGGTCAAACCTATAAAGTACACTTTATACTACAGCTGCACATGTAAACAAGCAGCCTCACAAATAGCAACAACTCTGAGTCTGTTCAGGAAAGGCCTGATTGTTCCAACTATTGATGCCAACTTCACTCGCAGCATATTGGCCCTGTGGGAGTGTATCAGAGAGAGATTCACACATGATGCTAAAAACTGAAACCAGTTTGTGCCTCTGCGTGTATTCAGATAGAAAACTATGACCGTGGGTAAAATAGTTCAGATTGAAACAAGCATGGATCATGTTATGGTTGTGTTAAAAGGTTCTTTTGTGTCTCAGGCCAGTTTAGGAGGCAACGTTCGGTTTGCCCTGACCGCCTCGGCGCCCATCTCCTCCTCGGTGTTGTCCTTCCTCCGAGCCACTCTGGGCTGTATAATCTGTGAGGGTTATGGACAGACGGAGTGCACAGGAGGCTGCACTTTCTCCTTGGTAGGGGATAACAGCACAGGTATTTTAATTTTTTTTTTTTTTACAGGTTGTAGCAGGTTGCTCCTGTTCTCAGCTGATATTTGGATCATTTCCATTTCAGGTCATGTTGGTTCTCCTGTACCGGGCGCCATGGTCAAGCTGGTTGACATCCCTGACATGAACTACTACGCTAAGAATGGAGAAGGCGAGGTGAGAACATCGGAAAGAGGCAATCATATTTTGTGTCCAAACTTTTTAAAATAATTTTGTTTCTTTTAAGATTTGTGTCCGTGGTCCCAGCGTGTTCAAAGGTTACCTGAAGGACCCAGAGAAGACAGCTGAGGCCTTGGACAGCGATGGCTGGCTGCACACTGGGGATGTTGGCCAGTGGCTTCCAGTAAGACGAGACAATAACTGCGCATTTATGCTCTATTTCCAGTAAGCAAAAGTTCCAATAAACACATTTTCTTGTGTCAGACTGGCACGCTGCGCATCATAGACAGGAAGAAGCACATCTTCAAGCTGTGTCAGGGAGAGTATGTCGCACCGGAGAAAATCGAAAACGTCTACCAGCGCTCCGTTCCTGTGCTGCAGGTGTTCGTTCACGGAGATAGTTTACAGGTGCTTTACAGAAAACAAATTCTTCTGCAAAGAAATGTGGATTTTCTGATGCTTGACTTTCTCCTGTCCTCTCCAGTCTTACGTCGTAGGAATAGTTGTGCCTGACAGAGAGGTGTTCGTTGCCTGGGCCAAGGAGCGGGGCTTTGTTGGCTCCTACGAGGAGCTGTGTCAAAATCCTGTAAATCAAATTACTATATTTTTAAACGTTAATAATTTTACAAGGGGTTTGAAACACTGATTGTCTCCCAACAGGATGTAAAGAATGCTGTATTAGAAGATGTGAGATCAGTGGGGAAGGAAGCAGGACTTAAATCTTTTGAACAGGTGAGCAGCCTTCAATAGAGAAATCCAATTTTACAAGCTGCAAACACACGTCTGTAACTTCTGCTGGAATCCTTTTTTGTGTCGTCACAGGTGAAAGATCTTTATTTGCACCCAGAGACGTTCAGCACGGCCAACGGCCTTCTCACGCCCACCCTGAAAATCCGACGGGCCGACATCCGCAGAGTGTTTCAGGAACAGCTGTCGAGCATGTACAAGTCAACGATTTAATCCACTCCACACCTGAGGCTCACCGCGCTGCACGCAGGAGAAGAAACTAGTCCAGGAGCTCCTACAGTGCTGTGTAGAAACCTACAACTGGATGTCTTTTCATGTTTTTATATACAGTTTAACTCCTGTCCACATTTGGTCACTACCTTTTTTTACGCAAACATGATGTTCCTTTAACTTTTTATGGACCATATGTTGTTTAATAGTGGAAATAAGACTCACTTTTTTTACACTAAACTATTTTTCAGGTATTTTTAAAGGGATTTTAAGTCTTTGTGGGACGTTGTTATTCACGACAGTTGCATTAATTGTAAGTTAGTCATATTGTACAGTTCCTGGAGTCTGTCTCACCACAATATAAGCTTTTTACAAACATCTCAGATTTCAACACAGAAGCATCTCCTGTAACATTTTAAGTGAAAACATCAGAACTGATGATCTTTTCAAACTGCAATGGTTTGTTAGAAATAAAGAACTTTTAAAACTCCTGCAGTCTCAATGAGAAACACTCCATAACTGATAATTAAATCAAGTTTCATTTACTTCATGATTGATTACAGCTTAGAACAAATTGTCAACAAAACCAATTAAAAACAAAGAATTCCCTTAGTTCAGTTAAAATATAAAAAACTAAATAAAAAAGTACCTTCATTAGTGAAGTTAATAACGTAACAATGTGCATCACAGGACAACTCGAAACAAACTAAGCCATAAAAATAAAAAATAAATCAGAATAAATAATCTACTTAATAGGCCATGAAATAATAATAAAACTTAACGTCACATAAGACGAGACAGTGTGTGCATCACCATACAGCGTGCCTTTCATACTGAGGCTCAGCCCAACAGAGTGGAAACAAAGGAGTGCAATAGCAGTATGACTTCATCCAAAATTAAGAGGCCAAAAACAAAAACTGGCTCCCAGATCTGGTGTTGAGGGTGAAAAAGGGACTTTCTAGCATCCCAGAAATGTGTGAGCTTCTTTTGCTAATACACACTCAAACCAACAATAGAACAAAGGACTGGATGCTGTGAACAAAAGGAGAGTGTGCATGTCATGACGTGTGACTTCCACTAGAGGGAGTGCCAGCATTTGTTTTCTTGGTGCAGAAGTTCGTCTGTTGAGCCTGAGCAGTGTTACCTTTCAGTGCCGCTCAGGTCGAGTCCCACTTCACACAAGTTCGTTATTGTGTTACATTTTAAAGCCAGAACAATATAGGCACATTACACAATGGTGATGCTATGTTTACAATTATAAACCCCAATTACATTTTTAAAAAAGCCCCCAAAACTAAACTTACAATTAGAAAAGGACAAAACAAAGATTTGGTGATTTTGGTGGTAACCTACAGTCCTTGATTTAACAATAACTGCACTGTTTGTAATTTATATAATTAAAAAAAACATCTTTAAAAGCATTTTGGTAGCATAGATGAGACTATTAACAAATTATTGCTCAACTTCAGAAAAAATGCTTGTAACTTTCTCAAAAACAATGTAGTGTAACCCTGACAGAAGTAGCTCTGATAAAATCTGTTTTTTTCCATTAAAAAAAGAAAAATTGGCTTTTTATTTGTCACTTGGCTGATGGCTTTGTTAATGTGGCTTTCAGCTGCTCTGATATGAGGATGAAACGGGATGTAGTGCAACAAAAATGGAAGAAAAAAAGTGGGGGTGGGGAGGTGAGGCCGCAACAAAACCAGCTGATAATCAGGTTAAGGCCACTGCTGTCCGTTTGAACTCCAGGAGAGCTTTGAAAGAGAGCAATCCATTCAGAGAGGCATGAAAAGAGCACCTCCCGATGTTCAGCTTTCCTCCCTCAGTCGTTGGCGACAATGGACAGAGAGCGCAACTCGTTCAGCTTGGCCTCAGTCTCCCTCTGCCTCTGCTCGTCAGTCAAACCAGCTTGGTCGATCTGGTCTGTTAACTCGCTGAAGACCTTGTACATTTCAGTGAAATAGACCACCTGGTGGGCAGGGAAAAAAAAAAAGATTTTGTCACTACGGAAAAATACAATTCCATTTTTTCTTAAAGATAAACCATGGCAGGGTCAATCCAGGATTGCTTCTTAAATACCTCTCAAGAAAAAAAAAAGATCCACATTTGTTTCCAAACTGCTAATCCTGCTTTTTCTCGCAGAAGTCTGAAGCTGCTGGTCTCAGATTCTCCTAATGAGGAGTGATGGGAGAAGAGAAAAGGGTGCCCACAGAAATCAAACTATTCTAACAAAGCCCCCCCAAAAAGCCCAGCACTTCAGTGGCTACTGACCCTGCTTTTCTCTCCCAATCTGAACAAGAGATAGAGTGTTCACTGAAAGCTTTCTTGACACTTCCCACCCCTGCTTCTTCCCCTTGGTGCATGAGTCAGGCTCCCCAGAGAGTTGCTTTGATGATTAATAGACTTTAATCACATTACAAGACTCTAGAAGAGTAGGCAGAGAATGAAAGTACTGGGAAATATAACCCCTTGAAACCCACAAGCACGTCTCAATATTTATTCAAACAGCAATGCAAACGATGCCAGCGCTCTTAAGGGGGGCATCTCCGAAACGACATGTGCTTTTCATTGCAGGCAGAAGCAAAGAGACGAACCAGAACACCAGAAGGGAAGAAGAGTTATTCATTCACATAAATTGTCAAAGTAACAGTTATTTGTTGACTGAGGCCCTAAGCATTATAGACACAACCAGCCAAAAGGAATAATGTCAGAGTCTAAACCACTTTATACAAGCCTTTTTAAGTGCCCAGTCTGAAAGACACTGCCTGTTTACACCAAAATTTGCCACCTAAACCACATGACTGGGCCATAAGTATTGGGTTACTGCTGTTTGTAGGGGGGAAACGGATACATTTTTTTCCCTCAAAAGTGACTTGTTGAAAGGAGCGTCGGAAATGTCCATATGACCAGTGATGATAATGTACACCAGATCAGCATGTTCTCTGGACCGAAAACCACCTTACAATTACTCGAGTCATCACTCGGCATAAAAGTGACCTCGCACAACTGGGACTGAACAGAACCTTGTGTTAAAGCAGAACTTTAATCAAAATGACCTTTGGGCTTTTTAACACATTTGTGTCTGATTCATATTTCTACCAAGATTTTATTTTGACCTCTAATATACTAAATAATTTAAACTGCTACAAACCTATACACAATATGTTCACTGCAAGAAAATCAACCAAACATCTGTGATTGTGTGATTTGTTTATTTTTAAAAAACGTCAATTTCTCAGTATCTGCACAAGTGGACAGATCAGGCTGTAGCGCCTGCTGAGGATTACTCATAACAAAAGCAGCCTTTGTGCCTTTATCTGCTGCTGCTGCTGGGGAAAAAGGGAAGCCAAGGATGAAACCGTGCACAAAGCAAAGGTTTGGGACTACTGACCACCCACTTGTGAGTCTGTGTGTGTCAATAGCTCATACCTCATCTGCTAATCTGAAGTTCAAAGTGCATCACAGAACTCCATAATTGTCATTAGGTCTGGGATAATCTGGTTTACTAATTAGGAGCGTGCCAGCGACCGTCCCATAGAGGAAATGACATGGACGAGCAGGTGGGGGGAGGGAGGGGGACATGGTGGCGCTAACTTCAGACACTCAGCTGCTTAAAGAAAAAGCTGCAGGTTAGAGGACGACTCGCAGCACCGCTGTGGAGCCAGACAGATGAGGCCTTCCTCACAGCAGTGTGGGTCGTCACCGGGGGTTAATCACATTAGGACTGCAGGGTGGGAGACAGACTGCCTGACTTAAACACACCCTTCATCAGACCTGTTAACAGCACACTGCTTGAAGGGTGTGTCTGCAGCTGCGGGAGCCTCATCGGGTCTGCTTTCTTTTTTCTTTTTTAAGAGAACTTCACTAACCTGCGCACGGATGAGAGCCTCAAAGCTGGGCTGGAAGTAGTCGATGCGACTCTGGTAGAACTTGGGCATCTCGTCCAGCAGCTGCTTGTTCTTGGCCTCGAAGTCGTCCTTCACCGGTTTGAGCTCTTCTTTTGCCTGGAATTTGTAGGAAAGATGAGAAACAAGAGCACGGGTCAAAAATCGCCTGTTCTAAATTTAGACAGGCGGACACCATCGCCAGTGCACGCTGTAATTCATTTGTCAAAGACTTACAGATTTGGGAAATTAAATCGTGCAAAGTGAAAGAAGTTAGATATACGTAAAATCACTACTTCGCGCATCAATATTGATCTTTTTTTCTTATTGTTATGAAAGATATTTTCCTAATTCCCACGGAGATGCAGTGCAAAAAAGGCTGTAATCACGACCACAGTGAGGAGGAGTTGGTAATGTGGGCAGACTTGGCTGTGAGTGGACTCCAGCACCACTGATCTCTGTGTGAATGTATTAGTGGGTAGTCTACTGTAGGCATGGAGTTATGGAATGCACAATGAAGAATTGTGAGAGGGTGAGAAATTTTATTAAGGGAAAGCAGGGAGTTGCTATAACTATACAACAACATATTGTTTATTTGCTCCATTAGGGAATATTCTTTATATTCTCTTCAATTTGTGCCCCCCCCCCCCCTCCCACCCTGCATATGAGAGTTAAAATGACACACAAATGTTGTGTAAGGATCATTTCTTTAAGTGCACAGGGATTCAAAGGGCAGGGAGGTAGGGCCTCTTCAAGGCTTTGTTCCCCTGACAGTGCTTTTCTCTGTGTGTGTGGGAGGCTCACCGTGTGAGGATGTTAGAGGCAACAGCATAGGCAACCATGCAACACTATCTGTGAATGTGTGCGCCTCTGTAGTGGCCTCGTGGTGTGTGTGTGTGTGTCTACAATTCTCAATTACGTGCCTGTAGATGTGCAGCAGTGCCTTTTTTTGAAAAGGCACTACTTGAGAGCCTGCTAGCTTGCGTGGGTGAAGGAGTGCACATGTACTGTATGCATGTGCTCAACTATTTTATTCACATCCAGTCAGCATTTGTGTCTTTTCCCACTTATCATGCTCTATTCACAGCACACGTAACAGCTAGAGCAGGTGAACCCTGCTCCCTTGGAAGTTAAGAGTCTTTTAGCCGACTTGACACGTGTAAGCTGACAGTACCTGGTGTAGTTTGACCATAACTGGGCCGGTTTTCTCTTTCTCTTCATATTTTTCCACTTTGGATTGCAAGCGTTTGTAGTCCTGCAGGGCCTGCTCTCGACGTTTCACCGCCATGTTGAGGCTTGGGAAGACGCCGCTGTACCTAAAAGACACAATGAGACACAACACGCACAGTGATGCATGAAGAAAACTTCTCAAACTCAAAAGGTAGGGCAGAAAAAAAAACAACAGTTTTCATTTTTCTATCAAAAATTCAGATAGTTTTTGTATCGCATCAGATCTCAACAAAAGCCATTATGATTTAATAAAACTGCTCTCCTAAACATCTTCTTGTAGAGGTACTCTCAAACCCCAGAGGACAGCTCTGCATTAAGCTTCCTCTCATCTATTATCTAATTACTGTAGTTCAGAACGGCATGAAACAATTTATTTTGTGACAATTATCCCATTCCAAATGAAAATATATTCTTGCAACAAGAATCCTGGTCTTCTGCACTAAAAATAGGAAAACATTCATCTGTAACTTAGCAACAGGAGTCTGAGCTTCATCCTGGGACTTGTTGCACTGGTTTTGTGTCTGCTCTTAATGGGAAACAGAAACACTGCATACAAATATGAACAATCAAACCCAATATTTGATTAAAATAAAACACACACATACAAAGTAATGAAATGAAGGGGTTCTGTGTCTGTTTGAATTCATATCTAATATGTCATTAGAGAGCATTAGTGTGATTGGGATGAGAGAGATCAGAAAGCTTTAAATACAACAAAGGTCAGCGTTACAAAAAAACAAATCTGGCAGCAATCCTTTTTCACCATTGTTGATACTTAGAAAGCAGTAAATAGTTTTCAAAGGCAGACTACAAGAGTTTTCACACAGGTGCCTACTGCATATGAGTAAGAAGTAAAAACAATCGTAATGAAGAATTAGATCAACCTTTTTTGAATGAGTCATTTAAAGCCTGTCATCTGCTGTGTAGGCTCACTACTAGAACAGTTTTTTATGTGAACATCTATCCATGGCATTATTAACCACAAAATGTGTGGGCTACATCATTTACATTCCTCTCCAGGTCAAGCCTTGCCCTGCTATGTGCAGCAGATGAGAAAACCACTGAAAGCATGTGAATGTATTGTTAACTCGTAAATTACAACTCTGTCTGGTCATTACACCTTACCAGGGGCTGATGGGGCACAGGGGGAGGGCTGAGGCTTGCTTTTCAGACAAACGGGAATTGTTTCTGACAGGAAGTTGAGCAAGGAGTGGTTTTGTAGTATTTGAGTGACATCACGTAGCTCAGCCGAGCCCAGCCCCACGGCCCACGCTTTCTAACTATTTATAAAATCCTACTTTGGCCCAGTTTACGGTAGGGGTGGATGCCGATCCTCAAGTCTACTATCTGCTCCAGTATACACATTCTTCAAGTGCCAAGGGATTATGTAACTACCCTCGAGTCATGACTGCTCTCCAACGTTGTTTTTCTGGCTGCTGACAATGCAGCTGTAACCAGCTTTTACTTGACACAAAGGCTAATAGAATAATCACCAGCACAGTTTACTTGATACTATCTTCAGGTGACAAACCCCAACGGCCTGTTTGAGTGGGACAACACTGCCGGAACAACTACTTTTGTGCATACCAAAACTCAACACCTTCCCTGTTCCAGTAACAAAATGCACAAAGCAGCTCCTTATCAACCCATTCTTCTTTTAGCCCTGCTAGATGCTGAGGCCCTGCTGTTACATTTAATGCTCTATTTGTCTTGATGGTAAAGTGATTCTGCTGTGTCCTGATTCCCACATAAGAGTTTGGTACCTCACATAAAATACCCAATAGATCTGTCTAAAACTATCCAAGACTGGGGCTTTTTTCCTTAGACATCCTGATCCTAACCAAACAACTCCTGGTCAGCCAGTAAAATCTGAGTTTGCATTCCTGTTTGAGGGTTGTCTGGTTAGATGCTGCAAAGGGGCCAAGGGCACGACACTGTCCATGTGACAGGTCAGGGTGTGGTGAACAGGCTGAACGGAAAGAGCAATACGAACCCAAAAATGAGTTTATGAGCAGCTGCCAATCCACAGGCAGGCCAGTCTGAACAATCAGCCAAGCCTCAGTCTGGTCTAGACACCCTCAGACTAGGAGTCTGGCTGGCCTTTAGTCACATAACTTAATACTGTAAAGAAAACACAACAAGCCACTAAAAAAAAAAAAAAACGGGAAAAGTGAATTATTTGTGCAAATTGTAGCATTTTTGTGTCAAACAAAGACTGAAAGTTAAATCACAGCAAGGTTTGTTAAAAATAAAAAAATATTCTTACAATGATGCTACCAACACAAATAAATGAGAACACGGAGATTTTTCTCTCTTTCAATTGATTGTTCCAATAACAATTCACTATGGCTTCAAATGACAAGCCACTTTTAAATCTGGCTTTGGATGTTCATAAATTTCTAATCAAGCAACCCACATCTTTGGATGATGTGAGTTTTTATAAAGAAGCCAGCATTGTGGAACCATAGGAAGTGCTGTGTGTAACTCAGAGGAGAAAGCATGTCAGATACTGTTGTTTGCAGCTGGCTGGTTGCACAAATAGTTTTCATCACTACATCACACCTTGGAGCCGCAAATATGTCTTTGAGACGTCTTAGCTGTTTGGCATTTGTCACTACTTCCCTTTGTAGCTCAGAGGCACAGCAGTGGCAGGTTGATTACTACCCCCAGATGACACCTAGGTCCTTTTACAGGTCACACAGAGGCAAGTAAAAAGCATTTCAGGCCTAGTTTGAAATGGTTTTTTGAATCAGGCTAATGTGCCTTATTGCAATGTTTTGCCAGAACTCAAAAACTCACAAAGCCAAGCTGACAGATATACAGCTGGTAAACTACAAACATAAAATAGACTCTCAAGCTATGAAAATTCATCAGTAAATTCAGGCCTCCTTGATCCCAACAGCTAGGGCCAAAAAGTCCCTGCTGGCTTTAGGCCTCCTGACCTGCTTCAGAAGCGGTCTTCATTTAACACAGAGGGGTGATGGTGGTTTGTCCAGCTCTCGCTTAACCTAGGGCAGAGGTCTCAAAACAGGCCTGACTTCTGTCTCACCCAAAAGAACAATGAAGCAGAAAGGGCCATGTTAGGAGGCCCTGATAATACAAATGCCTCGATGCCCACGCACTCCCCTCCCCTCACATAAACACACTGATGTCATTCAGTGACCCTACTGAATGGATGAGACTCTCAATTCAACCTGGGAGAAGTAAAAAAACACAGGAGTGTTTTTACGTTTGTTTTCTGTGCACTTCACCAGATGTAAGTTAAAAGGATGGATGCCAAAAGTTTAAATAGCAGTTACACATGGACAAAAAAGCATAACCTAACAAACAAACACAGTAATTACAAGCACACACTAATAAGTGAACGTCTTCCATTAATATAACAATCTTCTTTTCAACTCTCCACTAATTGTACTTACAATGCCACAAGATCACAAGCCAGACAATCTTGAGATGAGTAAAAAAAAAACTTAATGAAGGACTAATGGAATCTTAATGGAAGCTTTAACGCACACCAGCTTTTGTATCTTTGCTTTATTAACAACACCTTTGTAAATAAATAACCAGCAATGCTGTTTTGTTTTTTTAGATTAGCAGTAAAACTGAAAGGTCAGTTTATTTTGGCATTCATTTTAAAACCCATTTCCCCTGCATCATTTTAGAAACATATTAAAGCAAAAGTTGCTTTATGGTGCAAAATACCAACACCTCTGCTCACCCCTCAAAGTCCAGGCTGGTGTTTGCATATTGGTGAGTGTGTGCGTGTTTTTGTGACAGCGTGTGTTATCCTGAGACAGTTCCCCTTCTTCAACCAATCCACACAGAGCTGGGCCCAGGAAGCTGGGCTCTTTGCCATACTCTGAGCCTGCCCACACGTCCGCCTGCCGCCCACCAGGAAGAGGAAATTAGAACCATTCCATCCTGTCGCTGCTCCCCACCAGTGCACACGAGGGAGACGGGGTTTTACACGTACAGACACTGACCTAACCCAGGCAAACAGTGATTTCACTTTACATTAGACATTTTACTAAATGGGAGCCTTATTAAGAAGAAAGTTCAACAGAATTCTGCGTCACAAACAGCTTGCTTGTGTTCTAAAAACAGTGCACATGTTTAATGTCCTGGGAGGAGCCAAGAGGAGGAAGCAAACCTTAACTAGAGCTCCGGAAGATGGGTGGGATAGCCCAGCCACTCCCTTCAGCAGTGTGTGTGTGTGTGTGTGTGTGTGTGTGTGTGTGTGTGTGTGTGTGTGTGTGTGTG